ATCGGCAAGAATCAGGTGTTTAATTCTTTCGGGATATTGCATGCTATATGATGCTGCAAGAAAACCACCCATTGAATGACCTAATAATACAAATTTTTCTAACTGCATTTCTCTTCTCCATTCTTCAATAGAGCGAACTAATTGACTCTCAGCTTCATGAGCTTCGTTACTAAAAACGGGACGACTACTTCTACCGAAACCTGAATAAAAAATTAATATACATTTTAGAGAAGCAAAATAAACAACAAATAAATATTATGATAATCAAAAAAAATATTATTATTTCAAAAATAATGATATTATAAAAATATCATACAACAAATAACGGAACAATTAATAATAACAAATATTTGAAAAATATGCAAAATCACTTTATATTATTTATATATAAATTATATGTAATTCCAAAGTTCAATTTTAGTCATCTATGAATCATATTTGATAATTATATTTAAAAAACAAAAAGTATATATCTCTAGTATGTATAACTTTTTGTTTTAAATATTATTGGATAAACTTAAAAATATAAATTTATGTTTTATGTATTATAAAACTATAAATGAAATTATAATTATTTTATTTTTACCTAATATGTCAATAGCATATACTGGCCTTTGAGAAGCCAATGCATCAAGATTTAAACACCATAATGCCACACCTGCTCCTAAACCATGTAATAAGACAATTGGTGTTTTTGTTGATTCTTCATTCAAAGAAATAGTCCATATCTTATCTGATGTTCCTACAACTGGTCCTATATCCACATACCATCCTCGATATGCTGTTCTCAAACCTATATTAAATATAATAGTTCTTAAACCATATAGTTAATAACTTTGCAAATCAAAATATCATTAAAATTATAATTTAATACAAAAGATTATTTTATCTTTATATAATGTCTCTAAATTTTAATCTAAAAAAATTTGTTTAACAAAAAAACTTACAAGAAAGAATTTTTTTCTCCGCAGCACGTAACATAGTTGAAGATGAGCCAGACCAGCTAAACCATTCCCAAAACCAGCTAACAAATAAAAAAATTCAAGAAAATTATATAAATAAACGAAATATATTCAATTTTTCATAAATTGTATACTTATAAATATTTATAAAATCACATTTACGTAACAGTATTTTTACAATAATTAATAATTAGGATTAATAAAAACTAATGATATGTGTAGTAATAATTTTTTAATAAATTTATGTGTTGTAGATCATTGATTAGCTATATCATTATATTTTTCGATACTGTTATAATGTAGTTTTACAAATGTCATGTTATGGTTTAAAACACTGAACTTGAAAAATTATTAGACATGATACACATAATAATCTGAGAAGTGATAAGTATGATAAACATAATGTATACATATGTAAAATCAATTTTGAAGACTTTAATGCGTAGATTAAAAAAGAAATTACCTACGTATTCGTGTAAAATAAACTCGAAATGGAATTAACTATACATATTTCTTTGGTTATGATTCTTCGTGCTAAAAATGTTTGGCACGTGACCTTGAAAAGCAATCCAACATGACATAGTTAACTCTTTGACTTCCATAATCATTTTTCTTTTATATATATATGTAGCGTTTCAAAATACTTCTACATGTACGGTATCTATAATATAAATCTATTAATTATAATGACAATTTCTATGGCAATATAAAAACATAGTAAATTAAAAGCTTTTTAATTTAAATTTCGATTGCAAAAATTGATATCATTAAAATAATGTATTTATAGAAAATTGATGTATAGAAAATTATGATAAACTATAAAGTCGCCGAAAAAATGAAAGCCATAAATTAAAAAAAAAGTTACGAATGACAGTTATAAAAAAATTATATTTAAAATCCTTTAATACATACCTTTTCGATTTGACAATTTCATAATCTGCCATTAGCTTTTACGATGCTTTGGTTGTTCGTATACGATGATTTCTTTGTTGACAATATGGAAAATGAGTACGACGACGTAACCAATTCTATTATCTAGTCGGTGAGAATTCCAGTATACACTGTCTGTTGAAAAATGGAAGAGTGGGAGAATCAGCTGATGTACATATGTTTTGGAAGATTTGTGGAGTTTTTCTTTTGTGAAATATAAAATATATATTTCATCGTTTACTGTTATATGTATTTTTTTTTTAAATATATATTGATTGCAATATATTAACACATTATTTTTTAAAATAAAATTATTATGATAACAAAGTATTACATCTAATGAAAGTAACATAACCTAAAATCATCGTGATAACCAATATTCATAACTTGGGTATATATATATATATATTGTAAATTATTTTTAAAGAAGTGCAGTAACTGTTTTAATTAAATTCGTATTTTTTAATATAGTTGAAATTATTAATTTATAAATCTTATAAATTAATAAAATTCATAATAGTATAATGAGCAATATTATATTTTTAAAAAATCTATAATACAATATATTTTTATTCTAATATATGAATTAATTTGAAATTTATAAAGAATAAAGTTCTTTATAAATATACATATATACATACATCGGAGATATCGATATTATGTGAAAAACAATAATTAAAGATAAAAAAGAATTTGCTGCTTATAATTATCGATAAAGATATTAGAAATTTTTGTGTGAATTATAGTGATAAGAACATATCGATTATACGATTAAAAATAATTGTAAAATTAATAACTAATATAGAATTTTATTTTTTATTTTTGTTTTTAATTAATAGTTTAAAATATTTTGAGCTTTTAAATAAGTTATTCTTATGATTAATGTATTTATAATACAATGAAACAAATGAATCTCTATCTTTGTAACATGCAACAAAGTGTAAGCATAATACAATGAAGAAGACATTTTATAATGATCAGAGACTCTATACACAAGCTCTGGGTGCTTTTGGCTCTCCCGACAATATGAGCTATTCATCCCAATCAGCACATCCTCATTGCACTCATGCATGATTCTCATTATTTGGTCCAATTGTTTCGGAAATTTAAAGTTGTACGATAGTTGATGGATTGTCCTTACAGTTTTGTACTTGCATTATATACTCTCTATTATATATACTCTATTTATATCACTATATATATTTATTAAAATGTAATAAAAAAAATTTACAAAAAAATAATAAATAACAAAAACAATATTTTATTGAAAATGTTATACAATGAAAAAAATAAATGACAGAATATGAGAAAAATTCATTAATTAATAGTTTTAACATTGTAAATATTTTTCTCAATTTATATTTATATTAGCGATCAAGTATATGAAATATAGATATTTTAGGAAAACACTAAATTCTTTAATTACATGTAAAAATTTGAAAAAGTTTGATTATTAAAATTCTTCTTTAATTTCTTAATAAAAATGATATTTATTTTTATTTTGATAAAAAATAAAAAATCTGTCAAAAAAGATATAAAGAAAATAAGTATATATTGGAATGGCGTATCAAAGGTAAGACGTAAGGTAAGAAGTATGCCTATATTTATGTATATTTGATGTAATGCATAGCACGCGTGGCGTAAGGATACAAGATAATTCGGGCGTCGTCTGCTGGCACTACTTTTCTATTTGCCAGTCAAGGAACAGGATTTCACATAAAATTGCATAAAATTTTAGTAAAATTGTATTCTGCTTTGAATTTTTTTAACGTCAAACAAATTACAATTTTATAAGAAATACAATTTTATACTTTTTAACATTTTCTTCTATATTTACTAGATATAAATTTTTAAAATAATTTTATAACAATTTTTAGTTTTCGAGCTTTTAATATTAATTTTGATAATATTAATAATATTCATTTATATTTATAAAGTAAATTAATATTTTTTTTTTCTGTTACTTTCATGTAATAGTGAAATGTATTTCCTTTTAATCGATAATTCAGGAATACAAAAACTTGTTTTGTGAATAAATATGTGTATATATATATATATCATTTTCTATTCTTCTTCAACAATATAATTAATTATCGAAACAAAAACATTATTTTTTTGATGAATTCATATTAGTGTATAGATATATCTTATAAATTTTATATTTTTTTTTTGCCTTTTTTTGAAATTAATTTATATGAATTCTTTTTGACATTTCAATAATTCTTATGAGAAATATTCATTTAAATTATTATTATGTAACAATAATTAATTTACATAATTCTATTTTTAATAAATATCAATCATTTTCATAATTGAAATGAATTATATTCAGTTTTATTAATTCTAGTTATCTTTATTTTATATGTATATATTTTATATCACAATATATATATATATATATATACACATTGATATTAATATTATGTGCAAAAAAAATTATAATAAAAAATACATTAATTTTTCTATGATATGAAAAAGATATATAAAAAATACAATCGCTATTAATCGACTATTATTCGAATAATCAAACATAATATATAACATTTGCTAATGTTTTCAATATTATAATATTAATGAGAAAAAATAATTTGATCTTATTTTTGACTTTTTGCTTTTATGGCTTTTATATAATGCCATATTATTATAGTCTATAATTTCAATATTTGATAATATGTAATTGATGACATACAATTGATTGTCAATATAATTATATCAAATTATTCTATTGAACAATATTTAGTCTAGATGTAATATATAGAAAAAATTTACTTATAAGATAAGATGAAACTTATTTATTTAATATAATGATTTATTATTATCCAAAAATTATTTTCTAAAGAATGCCATATATTCACTTTATAAAATATATTAAAAGGATGCATAATGAACATTAAATGGAATCGATCAACGAAAATCGTAGTCGAAGATGCGTGGGTTAATGCAAATTTGTCAGAGAGGGGAACTACTTTTTAATCGCGAACACCAATATTCCACAACTCACGGCACCTGTCGTACTATACGCAATGTAGTTTAACGTACCTAGTAGCGGACGATGGGATGCCGAGCAGTATTCCAATTGGTCGGTCAAAAGGGGCGCGCGGTTGCTAAGCAACGGCAACACCGCGCGCGTCACCGGCCGGCGTAGCCGGCACCAAACGTTCCTGCCACTGTGGCGGAAAATTGCGCAGAACAACGTCGACTCTCATCGGGTGTAAACGTGCTGCGGTCTTTAAATACGCGATATAGAATCACCGAAGCTTTATTCTTTTTTTACTCTTGTCTCCTTTCTCATTGTCGAATACAAAATCGAAAGAATCCTTTGTGGTATTCTATTTAAAAATTGTGCGCTTCCTGCAAAAAACGAATAAATATTTTATTGGAGCAATAGAGTTACATTTTAGTAAAGTAAAGGAAATAAAAAAGAAAAATGGCAGAGGACAAAAACGAAACCAGCCCAAGTGCCGAGGGTGAAAAGCCACCACAGGAAGCGGCGCCGTCGAAGCAAGAAAAAGAAGAGCCAAAAGAAAATAAAGAAGAAGAAAAGAAAGTCGAAGAGAATGGCGACGGTGATAAACCCAAGGAGAATGGCGAAGAGAAACCCACGCCAGAACCGAAGGATATGCGGGCTATAGTACTGAACGGTTTCGGCGGACTAAAAAGTGTCAAGGCTTTGAGGAAGCCTGAGCCCACCCTCTCCGAAGGAGAAGTTCTTATTCGAGTCAAAGCATGGTAAGTAACTTTATATATATTTTCGTATAATCTATTTATTTACAATTCGAATACTTTAATAATTCGATCTAGATATAGGAGAAAGTAGGAAATAAATGTAAATTAAATATAAAGAATTCATCGATTAAATAATATGAATGAATATTATAAATATTATTTTATGAATTATTATTAAAGTTATTAAAGTTATATATTAAATCCCATTAAAATTTGAACGGATCAGATGAAATATATAAATTAATTAAGATTGATGTGACGTTAGCGAAATCAAGCGACATTTTGATAGCGTCTCTTATTCTGTTTGAATATAAAGCAGTTAAATGTCATTAACATTAAAATATAACACTAAAATAAAATTAAGTATGTTTCTTGTAAAACATATATAAATTTCGATTTTATATCAATGATTGATCACTTCGAATAGTTTTGAATTCTATTCGAAACGATGTTTCGATAGTTCGTTATTGGAATGAAGGTGAATCACTGAGAAGAAAACAAAATAGAAAATATGGTGTCCAGATTCCGATCCAAGCGAAGAGACCGTTACAATACCACTGCATCTTTGAAATTAAGGCGTGGTATCTCTGAGACGTTGATAATTAAAATTTTATTATTACGATATAGAGCATGCATAATTTTTATAGATGTAAAAACATTTTAATAAAAACATTTAATTTTCGGTATGCATACATCAAAATATTTGTTTAGATTAAAATTCTATTTTACATATTCTTTTGTATGAGATCAATTTTATATAATACTATCAATTTAAAATTTACACTTTAGTTCATGAATATGTTTTTATTTTATTATTTCTGTAAATAAATAACAAGTTTCTGATCAATTTTAAAAAAAAAATTAGAGTAATATAAAGAAATTATCATTTCCTAAAAATATAATTTACGATAATGTTTTTTCTTTTTTTAATATTTTTTATATAAAATTAATTTTTTAAAAATTATTTTTTATAAACTCTTTTAAAGATGCATAGAATTTAAAGAAAGCTATTATTAATTTTTTTAAGAATATTATAATTGAATATTTCGATATTTTTATAGGATTGTAATATGAAATATTATTCGCCATTACTACTGCTTGACAAAAAAGTATTATCCAGCATTCCTCAGAATGTTATGCAGTCTGCACGTTAAATAGCTAGCTACATTTATAGAATATATATCTGTGTGTTTAATATTAGTGTATACTTTTGTAGATACGCAAAACGAAGTTTGATAAACCGTTTAATTATATTCAATTTTATCTCATCTAATTTATTCATATAATGTGTGTGTGTGTGTGTGTGTGTGTGTGTGTGTGTGTGTGTGTGTGTGTGTGTGTGTGTGTGTGTGTGTGTGTGTTGTGTTGTG